TTACCCAATGCATTAGAAAGAAAACAGATTTACAAAAATCTTTTTAATTACTATTCATTAAAAGTAAAAATTTTTCACGCACGCTGATAGTGTCAAGAATGAGAGTTCTAGAGCAAAAAAAAAATAGAGGGAGGGCGTCGAAGTTTACAAGTTTGAAGTTTACAGTAAAGGAAAAGAGTTCAAAGGAAACATAAATGTTTTTATTAGTCACAAATCAAAAGTATTATTATCTATTTCAATTGTAAAAACTGAAATTGTTGTTTGGTTAACAGTTATGTTTGTAAAAATACATTAAATTGTCCTATAATAATTTATGATAAATACTAGAACGGAAACATCACATGAGGGGCAGCATGAAACTTATTCTGAACCGATCAGGCCCAAACTATATATGGTATGGATATATGTATCATAGTCAAGTTTTAAGTAATTTTCTAGGTGGGTGTTATGCAGTACGTTAGACATAGGACCCTGGACTTACAATTTGTCTTAGATTTTCGTAAAGTTAGTTGTTGTCAAAAGAATATATAAAAAAATTGTCTTTCAAACTTAGCCTCCTTCTTTGTATTATTAACATAGTCGGAGATACTAAAAATTTAAACAACCTTGGTTATGTTTAATACTTTTAATTTTAGACTTATTTCTCAATATCTCAGTCAATTCGTAAGGTACAAAAACGGCAGATCACATTTTGGAAATTTCAAAACAATTTGCATTTGATGCTACCCAACTTTTGGGAGGCAATGTTATGTTTACAAGATTTTAGCGACATTATCTTTTTTCTATATACTCCAGGGCCCACGATCTACCAAAGCTCTTCTCTGATTAGGACCCTGAACTTTTAAAACTTTTTTAAAAGAACAAATTATTCTTATAGAATGAATGATAGCCAGAATGAAAATTTGTAACAGTGAAACTTTAAGTACAACAACATGCACCGTGCAGAGATTAAAAAAAAATTCCCATAAAATCTAGGGTCCACTCAGCTTTAACAGCTGTGAAGCACACCCACAAAATTACAAGTACGCTGACTTAATATAGTATAAGGGGGCCGTGTGTGGGACCTCACATGACCCCGGTGAAGGTCTAAGGATGCTCAAAATTACAAAAATCGGAGTCCAAATTTTTTTGATTTTTGGAAAAGTTTGAAAATTTGCGAAACAATATAAGTAAATTGGCGAACTTTTTTGTTTGTTTATTTTTTATACTGTAAAAAGAGAAGATTCTCAAAAGACAAAGCCACAAGTTGAAATAGAAGTGGGCGCGAAACGCAAAAAAAAAAAGTCTACTAATATAATATATCTAAAAAACTTATTTCATAAAAAAAATTGAAATATTTTTGAGGATACAAATCTGTTACAAAACTCTGTAGTTTAATAAAATATTCTTTTTACTTTAAGTTGATTAAAAGCTGAGTTTTATTGAATTGAAATGTAAAACATAAAATAAATGCTCTTATTTCATCACATAACACGTGGCTTTCCCTCAATCGAGAATAAGGCTCAGCTGTTTTTCTTAAAGCAATATTTATCAGTAGAAAGATGATTCAAAATTTAAGAAAATAAATTCCAAACTTTTATAAAATCCATTCAAGGCAAACTATGTATTTCTACAAAACAACTCTCAAGGAACATTTGAAAACTTCTAGAAATTATTGACCTAATCTAGATTACGGTTTAGCCCCTAAGATTAAAAACAAAAGATCTTGGTCTAGCCCCCTGTTGCAAACCCACCTTAAGATTACCCCTAGGTTTAGCCCCTAAGATTACTAACCAACCTGTAAGATTACCCCTAGGTTTAGCCCCTAAGATTACTAACCCACCTGTAAGATTACCCCTAGGTTTAGCCCCTAAGATTACTAACCAACCTGTAAGATTACCCCTAGGTTTAGCCCCTAAGATTNCCTAGATTTCCCCGTAGTTCTGTCTGTTATCACAACAGCCTCTTCTATATCACCAAACACCTCAAAATGTTCCCTGAAATGACAAAGTGTTTAGGATTCGTTTCATTTTGATCCGGATCCAGGTCCAGAACATTTCTACAAGATTTAAACAAATATTTTTTTCTTTTTCGCGTGTTCTTATGCTAAACTTTATGAGTTATTCAGAGATGAGACATTTTTTATTATCATCTTTTTAATTATTAATTGTGTTTTGAGAGCAAAATTGTTGGTTTTAGTTGAAAAATATAGACTTTTTAATTAACATGATTCACTGTTTAAAATATCAAAGGGCTTCTAAATCTAATTGAAATCAGATTACAAAGATATAGGGATTGTAAATAATGTTTTCAATGACAAGTCCTTTTCTGAAGAGCTATTGATACAAAAAAAGTTTTGGAATTTTGATGCTACCTAGCAAGTTTAAATTGTCAATGGTTGGGTGTAAAATTCAAATTAGATGAGTTACTAGGTTCCAGAGTGGTTTCAGTAATCTAAATTAATATAATTTTTGCTTTAATCTATCTTAGAGCTTGAAATGAGGGAATAGCAATACTTCAGATTACAATGATAAAATATATAATGATGCAAGATGAACAATAGAACATTATTGACAAAATAAAGTGTCAATCTAAAAGAGTAAATATATAGATAATTTTCTTAATGATATGGATGACCATTGACCACTGTACGTTTACCTAAGAGATTTATCTGTTGTATGATAAGGGAGTCCTCCAACGAATAGTTTTGTCCAGGTTGTATCTTTCGACTGCATCGTCTAAAATTTAAATAATTTAAATTTTACAAAAAAAAGAATAAAGAAAATAGATAGAAAGATAGACCGATAGATAAATAGATAGATAAATTAATAGAAAGATAGATAGATAGATAGAAGAATATAGAAAATAGATAGATAGAATAATGATGAAAGTAGATAGATAGATAGATAGAAGAATAAAGAAAATAGACAGACAGATGGATAGATAGCTAGATAGATAGATAGAAGAATAAAGAAAATAGATAGATAGATAGAAAAATAAAGAAAATTGATAGATAGATAGAAAGAAGAAAATAGACATGATTATTCCTATTATTCTCCTGGTTTACATTATACACTCAACCCTTAACAGTAAACACACACACCACACAAACACACACACACCCCACATCACTATTGATTAAATGTCTTATTTGAGATAAATGGAAAGTAAGCCCTAGCAGAACTTTTTTGTTGTGACATTAATATTGTAAATGCGTTCTTATTGTAACAGCCTCTTGAATGTAAATATAAGTATGTTTTAAACATTCAACCCACAGTGTCCTCCTAGGTTCTTCAGCATGAAGATGAGTAAACTGGAATTTTTTTTTTACATATTTAGCCCACAGTGCTCCCCGGTTCTTCAATATAAAGATGAGTAGACTGGAGAACGATAAGATAAAAAGAGGAAAAATCCAGGAATAAATAATACAATAAATAACATTAAACACAGAGAGAGATAGCAAAAGACGGGTTCGCTTTCAACACAATATGACGCAAAATCATATATTCCTCCAATCTAGGTCTACGTTTAATAACCCCCCCCCCCCCCGCCCCCCCACACAATTAAGTACACGGACATTAAACACTTTAACAAACACAAAAAATTGTGATTGACTTTTAAATGTAAAAAATATCACTATTTTTATTATTGATACTGTAAGATCTTTTAGTTAAATCGTTATAATATTTTTCATTTTACTGATAAATGAATTTTAATAAAATGTAAATGCCAAAAATATGTTAATATTTAAAAGAATTTTAAATTATGTACGATGAAGTAATGCATAATAAATAAAATTTGAATTTTAAAGAAGCAAATAAATTTCATATTTCTTTTATCATGCACTTCCCCCCCCCCCTTCATAATTATTTACAAGCTTTTCATGTCAATGTCTTTTTATAGCAGGCAAAATTTTAAAATAAAGCCATCTGTGCGGTTGTAATCTAATCTAATCATTGTTTTTAATTGATTAATTTCAACAAAACACGGAATACTAAAGTCAATTTGAATTCGCATTGCCCCGACCCCTAGAGACGCGTGGCATGTACCGGCCTGACCCCTAGAGACGCGTGGCATGTACCGGCCTGACCCCTAGAGACGCGTGGCATGTACCGGCCTGACCCCTAGAGATGCGTGGCATGTATCGGCCTGACCCCTAGAGACGCGTGGCATGTACCGGCCTGACCCCTAGAGACGCGTGGCATGTATCAGCCTGACCCCTAAGGACGCGTGGCATGTACCGGCCTGACCCCTAGAGACGCGTGGCATGTACCGGCCTAACCCTATCATATTCATAAGTCAACTTTCATGGCGCGGCCAGACTTGTTACAGTACCCGGCCTATTATAGGCCTATTTGACCTACCCCACTAGCTAAGTTTGGTTTAACCACAACAAGAATTCCCTAAACTTAACTAAACAAAATATTTTAAGGCCCACGATTTCAGATTATAAATTGATAAATAGAAAAAGATTTGAGGGGTGGTAAGAGATTTGAGGGGTAGAAAGACATTTGAGGGGTAGAAAGAGATTTGAGAGGTAGAAAGATATTTGAGGGGTAGAAAGAGATTTGAGGGGCAGAAAGAGATTTGAGGAGTAGAAAGAGATTTGAGAGGTAGAAAGAGATTTGAGGGGTAGAAAGAGATTTGAGGAGTAGAAAGAGATTTGAGGGGTAGAAAGAGATTTGATGGGTAGAAAGAGATTTGAGGGGCAGAAAGAGATTTGATGGGTAGAAAGAGATTTGAGGGGTGGAAAGAGATTTGAGGGGTAGAAAGAGATTTGAGGGGTAGAAAAAGATTTGAGGGGTAGAAATAGATTTGAGAGGTAGAAAAATATTTGAGGGGTAGAAAGAGATTTGAGAGGTAGAAAGAGATTTGAGAGGTAGAAAGAGATTTGAGGGACAGAAAGAGATTTGAGGGTAGAAAGAGATTTGAGAGGTAGAAAGAGATTTGAGGGGTAGAAAGAGATTTGAGAGGTAGAAAGAGATTTGAGGGGCAGAAAGAGATTTGTGGGGTAGAAAGAGATTTGAGGGGTGGAAAGAGATTTAACGAATCGAGTCATGTCAAACTAAAGTAAATAGCACGGTAGGTTTAAAATCTTAAATGTTTTAAATCTCATGTTATTGAAGAGCTATTCAGAAATTTGATGTTATTTTTTAAACTTCTGAAATAATAGCAAATATATTTGCTTTTATCATGCTTGTCCGTAAAATTAAATCTATTGAAGTAGCTAGCTCCATTTTTGTGCGTTAAATTTAAATTAGAGGAGATACGATGTCACAACGTCGTACAAATAGTGTCACCTAAATTTGACCTTTTCCATATGGGCGCACCCGTACGTGGGGTGTATAGATGGGGGAAAAAGTACAGGGGGGGGAAGATGGGGAAAGAGGGGATGTAAGTTAGGACTGTATTGTAATTGTGTTATTAGAAGAAAAGTTGGTTCATAACTTGTTTAAGGTTGTAAGTTGCTAGTTTACATCATTACACACAAACTCTGCACTATACAGTGGTCAACAGAATAATCTGGACGATCTTTTTTACATTTTCTATGAAATTTAATTGAATTTTTATGCACTTTATAAATGCATTTGAATACTTTTAGATATTTTGTCTATAAACTCATGTTTGTATAAAACCAATATAAGATCTAAAAGAATCTAAAATTTTTAAAAAAGATTTTGACCAAACTTTAATTATTAACAAAAAAATCCTAAATTTTAAATTAGAAAGTTGGATTTCGCTGATTATACTTGATATGTTTGTAGAGCCTTTCCATCCCTTGTTTCTTTACCAATTTGTGCTTCACAATTCCGCATTTTTAAAGAGATAGTAAATTAAACTTTTCAATTATTTTAATTCATCAGCAGAAAAAGGTTAAAACAGCACAGCTGTGATCTTTAAATAAAGGAGTTATTAAAAATTATACCAAATTGTCCATTTAGACCCCCCCCCCCCCCCCCTCCGGATAACATAATTAATCAATCACAGAAAAAAAAACCTGATTGCTGTTTATCTGGCAGAAATATACATAAGCAAAAATCAGTTTTTCATCTTCATCCTTGAAACTGCTGTCAGATTCTGTTCAATTGGTATTTTTATGCCCATTTTTTTCTTCTGATGTGTCATACAAAAATACTTGAAAAAGCCCATTAAAAGAATGACACTACGTTTTTCATTTTGTTAGAAAGAGAAATGGCCGATCTCAAATTGAGATGGTATGTAATCCATAAATATGAAAAAGCTCTTATAGTTTTCAAATGTCCTTGTTTATACCTTTATTCCCCAAATTAGTTCTGCATCTTTCAACGTTTTAGGGTTAGTGCATCCCTCCCCTAAAGATGCATTCGTATTTTTCGCATTCCTTTATCCAAAAAAATTATTGTCCCGCAGTTTTGTACCCCCTATCACATACCCCCTCATCTCCTTTCCCTAGCGTGTAATTATAAAAAAGCAGATGCTCCCCCTCCCCCCCCCACTTACAGTAGAAGGGGGGAAGGCCCAGGTGGATAAAATATTTAATCTAATTATTTTATCGTTTGGTAAATAATTGCACCACTTATACAATACCTATACAATACACTTTGTACAAATATAATTAGAAAATACAGTTTAAAGGGACTGTTTACAATACCTGTACAATACACTTTGTACAAAAATAATTAGAAAATACAGTTTAAAGGGACTGTTCGCGTAGTTTCAAGTTTGAAGCATGCGTGTCATGTCTGATTCACAACGTACTCTACCTAAACGTGCAGAATTATGACAAATTCCTTAATATTTCTTCTACATAAATCCGCAAATCACTTGTACAAAGGAAACACAATTAAAAGTAATTTATATCAAGAGTTGGAAATAAAGATGATTCTTGATAAAACAAAACATTTGGTTTTAAAATGACTCTCTACATGCTTTCGTAAATTTTTTTTTCCAAATTGCCGGAAGGGGAAGTCAAAAGAAGAAAATGGAGATTGAAGGAGGAAAAATAGATGAATTATCAAAATAGTATGTTTTGTAAGATCCGTACCCAATAATTTTTGAAGAAATTTAAATTTAAAAAGAACTAAATGTTAAAAATATATCGTACAATGTTGGAAGTAACAAGAAAATTTTAAAAATATCCGACATAAAATGTCTCTTCTTTAGCAGTGTGTCACTGCATTACCATAGTTTAATAATTTTCCCCAAGTTGGCTGAAATCATAGATAACACAGATAACATTTTCCCCAAGATAGCAGAAATCATAGATAACACAGTTAACACAAGGAGAACTCCATATTTGTAACTACGATACTGGGTATGTTATCCTTTCAGTGATTACGTCGAAGATAGATAGATAGAATATAGAACGAAAATAATTAAATTACATAGGTTCAGAATTATATGAAAAGCTCACGGTCAGCCGTAGTACATTTGAATTTCCGAGCCGGGTCAACCTTTACGGTCCTTGTTTGTACTGTATCGCCCGGACATTAGGTAAATAGAGCAGACACTCAATAATAGGACTATTAATTTTAATACGGATCCGGATCCGGATCCTGGATTCGCACAGGAAAAAAATGGATCCGGATCTGGTTCCAGATTATTTCTTTAAAATTTACTGAATTATTTTAGCAAAGCAGAATTTTCAAATTTTTTGTCTTATTTTTTTCGCTTATTTGTATATCAGTACATTTTTATTTTCTCTCTTATTTTTCAAAAGTTTAGATTTAGGGATTGAGAGTAAACATTTTTTTTGCAGTTTTTGGTTGATATTTTGCCCCTTGAATCCGGATCCGTGGATTAGCATAGCTTTGCGGAACCGGATCCAGGAAGCCAAAATCTAACGAATCCAACGAATACCGTTCCGGATCCGGATCCTAAGCACTGCTTTCTAGTAACCCTAAACACGTAATGCTCTTTTTTCAAACTTTAGTTTGTAAGAAGTTATTAGCAAAATTTAGATAAAAGCATGCTGACTGCTTCATCCGCAACATAATGATTAAAACGAGTTCGCAATTTCATCTCGGGAGTGTCAGATTAATTTCTAAAATGTGTATTGGGTATACAAACATAAATATCACAAATTACAAATTACAGAATTTTAGACGTTTTATCACTTTATTTGAATAAATTATTGACTTAAAATACATATCTGATCATTCTGTTCAGCGTAAGTTAAAACATAGTAAGAAATATATAATTATGAAACATTTTAGCAAAATATCTTCATTTTTAAACATTATTTCTTGTGATAATCTAGTTCTGTACGAAGGATCTGCGGTGCTCACATGTTTTGTAAAATTGCTGATACAAGTTCTACTAATTTACTGTAAATATTCTCCATACATTACACAGGAAGTGGGACAAAGCGTAGTACACATACAAGGACATAGAATAGAAATAGAAATAGAGAGAAAGGGAGAAAGTTATAGATAGAAATATAATAGACAGGAGATTTTTAAATATATATTTTACAGATTGGACATATTTGTAGAAAATATGTTTTACAAATGACATTTTATAGATAGGACATTTCAAAGATATAGAATATTGATATTGGATTATGACATTTTATGGATAGACAATACATAGATATTGTAATAAATATGGAAACAAACCCCATATTTTGTAAACCTGAACTTATTCATTTGTATTACTTTATCACATTATCTGTGCCCTAACTACGTTCATTAATTTCTGAACGAACCTATATCGGTGCATATTACTAACATGTACTATAAATTTTCTTAATTATAATTTTATTTTCAAATCCAGTTTTTATTCCGAACCAAGTGTATTTGTGCACTATAAACTCTATGCAGTTTGCTACACTTTAAATTCAATATAAAAGCTCTAGTATAAGAATATTCTGAAGAGAACATCAAAGAAGGTTCTGAAAAACAAGGAATTCTCCCAGGGTATATATATATATATCAAGAGAGAACAGAGAAGGTAATTAAACTAGAAGGGAAAGGAGTGCACAGAAGGTTCTGAAAAACAAGGAATTCTCCCAGGGTATATATATGTATCAGGAGAGAACAGAGAAGGTAATTAAACTAGAAGGGAAATGGGTGCAAAGTGGAAAGGTTAGTAAGTTGAGAAGGATTATAAGGGGAAGTAAAGTAAAGATGAATCAGGAGTTAGGCACGGCCGGGACGTTTTGGAACCAATTTTTGCAGGGGCTAGACAAACATGGGTTGGATAGAAAAGGATAGTTAAGAGTGAAATGGAAGGGAAGATATTGAATAGGAGGGAAGGTGGGATGGGAAGGTGAGATGGGAAGGTATTGGATAGGATGGAAGGTATTGGATAGGATGGAAGGTATTGGATAGGAGGGAAGGTATTGAATAGGAGGGAAGG